GCATTCTACCGCTTTGGCACCGACACATACTTTGTATAGCGCACACAAAAGCGGTAAAATCCCAAAGTCTAAACGACCTACAATAAACGGATTTGTATAGAAGAATGTATAATGAGGATTTGATGCATCTAGCAGCCTGACTCAATACTGAACACATCTGCACCACTGGAAATGACTTTTGAGCTATCTCACCAACAGTTTTCAGACAGGCGAAATACACCTCCAAACCTGACTGAAAAAATCAATAGTGCTTGATACAACATTTTGATCTGACCACTCCCAGCTAGCTCTTTTTCAACATTGTTCAAGGACAAAAGTGATGGCTTGGCACACCCAACAGGTGCCGTAGTCACTTACAATCGATATATATATATATATATATATATATATAGGATCATTGGATCGGGTCCCAGTGGCACAATGGTCTACGAGCTAGCCTTGTAACCAGAAAGTCCTGGGTTCGAACCCCAGTGGGTGCGTACTGATGAAGAGTCCCAAACTAGGACGAAACAGCTGTCCAGTTCTCCCATATGTATGCCAAAGGAACCCTAACAATCACAATAGACACGACATCACTATCCCACTATGACATACATATTGCTTATTCCAACTATACTGAATTATTATCACCCATCAATCAATTCAAATGAAGAACTGCTTTTTTCTTAAGCTCAATTAGTCTGACTGTGTATTTCCTCTGATGTTTACTGGTCTTCCCACATCGCGTTAGTTTCTAGACAGATATTTCGTTTCACACCTTACGTAAGGAAGTTGAGACAATCTACTATCATTCAGTCAGCCTCTGCTGTTACAGTTTGTTAATTCTCGTACTCTACCTATCCCCGCCTTCACTACCCTCCCCCTTTCAATCGTTCCTGAGCTACTTAAGAAAGACTTCATTACACTGCGATGTCCACTACAAGCCATTCATCCTGGAAGGCAAGCAGGGTGTTGCTAAACCAACTCGTTATTACTGTTACTGTAGATAGACCCATGGACTCAGGCAGGAAGTTAGCGAATATACTATCTTGTCAGACACACACACACATACACAGCATCTTATCTATACACAACTCTGTCTTTGAATCTCATCAAGTAGGTAGGCCAACCTAGAACCAACTTATAGAAGACATATGTACTCGGATGAGTAAGTAATAAAAACTCTACAATATACCTTGCTTGACCAGGACACACATTTTATGTGATGAGAAAGGTGTGTCAGGCAGGACACTACCTAATTAAGACACACTAAGTAGACCATCTGCGTCGGTAGCATAGCCGACCATGCACATGGTACGGGGTTCGATCCCCGGCCGACGCACTCCTTTACCTTGCTAAACCAGGAATAATAGTTGGTAAAGAGGAAAGGTTGGGCATGAGGCTGGCAACCCCATCCTGTAAAAATAAACACTGCGACAGAAACTTCAAGTCTCTAGCTTGAAGCCCTATGTTCCACTGGGAACGTGAAGGAATAAAAGAAGTAGACCATCTGGTGCAAGCCGACCACAAAGCCAGCTAGCGTGCAAGAATCCTTCTCTATCATCTACCGGCTGCCTAATAAACTGCCAAAATCATCGAAGCACCACATGCTCCAAACAGCAGAAGCTTTTGCAATTCGCCTCAAACACCCATTGCTCTGTGTTCAAAAGGAACAAGTTCAGCCCCTACTACTGCCCTGGCTGGCCTTCACTAGAGACTATAAATTCATGAATTTGTAATATTATCTTTCCTAATTTTTCTGACATTCAGCTTATTTTATGTTGATGCTATTGAACTGTAATCCATTGATATTATTATTGATTCGATGTTATTTAAACAACATTAATGTTGTTCATAACACTAATTCATTCATTCACTATAATGTGTATATATAACTGTAGAGCCTGATGATAAAGGGGTTATCGAAAAGAGTACTCTATGTTCAGTATCCATTCTTTTGAAAAATTTTTCCTCATCATTATATATTGTTGCTAATATTTTCACTGAATCTAATTTTACGTTCACATTCAAGCTGAACAATACTACCAGTTTCAATTATTACCCCTGTAATAAGATAATTAGAAGCAATACCGTACTCCTCATGTGGAGCTAGTTATATTGGCCGCACAAAGCGCACGCTTTCCAAACGCATCTCTGAACTTTATCCGGCATGGTTAGCAAAGGGACAGTGTAAAACAATTACTAGCTCAATTATCGAGCATTTGGTGAACTCAGGCCACGTAGCTCCACCGGAGTCGTCTTTCAAGATCATCTACAAAGTGAAGCCAAATGGTACAAAGGGCGTCAGGTTTAGGCTTTTGTGTATGGCGGAGGCGCTGGCAATTCAACAATACAACCCCAAGCTCTGTATACAGAAAAAGTTTGTCCAGTCTCTTATTCTACCTTGGTCTTAACCTTCTCACTAATCGTTCCCTGTTAAAAAGAATTTTGATTTTTTTCCTTTCTGTTTTGTAATTTTTAATCTTACTTTTATTTTGCTTTTGCTTTAATAATTAATTCACTATTATCACTCTCATATGCTCCTTTTTTGTTCATTTTCACACTTGTTAAATTGACACTCAACTACCTTTATTCTCACTCAATAGCAATTTTAACCTTATCAAATTTCTAACTTTGTGCCGTTGAGTACCACGTAATTTACAACTTTTATTTTTTACTTCTAAAGCCACTTCTGAGTAATTATATCAATTATGTCCCCTCTATTACTCAATAATAGACCACTATATATTTTTGTAAGTATAAATACGACTGTGTACAGCCTCTGAAGATGATTTCGTCGATCAAGAAAATTTTCTTCGCTGAATCTGTCTTTTATTTTCTTCAGTACCGTACTAATACATGCTGAAAATCTCATATCTATACCTAAAGTACTGTTTGGAATAAAGTCATTATTATTATTATGCACAAGGGGCTATGGACCACATTTGTCGTGTAAGAGGACTACTGACGACACACAACCCAATTTGCTCAGGACTCAGGTACGTAGGTGGGGCGGGACTCAGACCTATGACTTATCATCTAAAAACTCTATAACTGCATCGTCCAATGAACCACATAACCTGAAATAGTGTTACGTGACCAAAGAGACCCCAGCCAACAACAGCTTGAGGCCGATCACACACTGCCTGTATGAACTCAATTTTAGATTTGTCGTATTAGCTACCTACCACCGGCTACGGATCACCGACGGGTAAGTTGGAATGTACGATTTTTAAGGCTGACCTATTCTAACCCGCCCACCCATCGGAAGGAAACACTTTACTTCTGTTACACCCCTGTCCCCCCACCCAGCATAGCATAAACATCTTATAACGATCCCGGTGATAACTGCTTCTAAAATATAATCACTATCCTAACAAATTTCTGGTATGCATGGTAGGACGATGTGGAGGAACATTAGTCCCAGAGCCAGTATGTGTAGCCTTGTTGGGTGTCACTGTGATATATATACAATCTCGACGACAACCATCGGTCAAGGTAGTATTAGCAGCAGCAGCTATTGCGGTCGGCAGCCACATGTCCACAAATGAAGAACTTAACTAATATTAGGTGCGAATATTTTCAGAAATGCATCCAGACTTTAAACAAACATATATATATATATATATATATATATATATATATATATATATATATATATATATATATATATATATATATACAATCTAATGACACAAACCCAGTAGGAAGTCATTCGCATGAACTGTCTGTCTGTCTCTTTTCGACATAGAACTTTGCACCGATATACGGCACTTCCAGGCACTAAATTCCCTCTTTGTAGCATACAAAGGAAGAGAAGAAATGCATATTAGAGACAGTAGACAGAGGTGTGAGACGAAGGAATGGTAATAACGAAGAACGATATAGTTTCATTTGAAATCGTAAGTCACAAGCAGTGGATGCATCTGCGCCATTGAGAACGATTTTGAGCCATATCACAAATTGTCTCCAGCCATTGGTGTTCACCGTCCCGAGGACCCCAACCAGTCAGGAAGTCTACACCTTCCTACGTGGCTGGCTTAAACTGACTGTTGTGGATTTCATTGACCGGTGCCATGTTTTAGTTTGACCGCTGCTAGCTCTTTTCCAGCCTGACCCTATATCAACTAACATTGACCGTCGAGGAAGGCGATGACTAGGCATACGTAACACATGTCCCAAACATCTCAGTCGATGTAGCTTCACAGCCTCGTCTATTGATTTCCCCTCCTTACCTAGTACTCGACCGAAGCCTAACCTCAGTATTGCTCACCTTATTATACCACTTCACACGGGACGCAGGCACCTATGATCAAAGACGGCTAGCTAATCTTTTCATTTCTTCCACTCTCAATGGCCAGGTCTTACAGCCATAAAGGAGGACGGAGCGGACTGTTGAGCAGTACACCTGCCCTTTGGTCGATAGCCAGACGGATATCACGTTTACGCCAGAGACGGCGTAAACTGGCATATGCGAAACTAGCCCTCTGTATTCGTACTGAGATTTCTTCAGAGATCAACCCCTTGGCACTCGCTGATGGTACTTCCCAAATAAGTGAAGCAGTGAACGTGCTCCACTAACCACTTCACTCCCTATTTCTAAACTAGGGGTCAGTGCAGTCCTGTAACATCATCTTACATTTGGCGGGAGCGAATCGCATGCCAAACATTCGTAGATTTCAGCTCAAGGTGTTCAAAAGACTCTGCATTTTCGCATGAACAACTAATGGGCACAAATAGCTCCCTACCTTACAAAAGATTGAAAACAACAGAGTATCTGAAACATATATGAATCAAGAATCCAATACATTCCTACAAGAGGTCAAACGCTAGCCCAAATCGCTCAATGGTAACGTCTCTGACTGCGCCACTCAGTGGGTGGTGGTGATAGAGGTTTGAATCTTAGAAGAAGGGACAAGAGTTTCCCCGCCAACCCCCTCCTTGGGCCGCCTTACTGACGACTGCCAACCAGCACGGAACCAATTGCCGCCAACCATCTAATATCAAGAATCAAGTCAATGTTCATATATATGTATATGTATTTATATGCAAGAATAAAAATAACTGAGTGTGTGTGACCATATCGTCATTATCGTCATCACCATAAGAAGAAGAAGACTGAAAAGATGAACACACACACACACACACACGAATAATCGTCAGATAGTGCGAAGGAAACATTTGACATACAGACAGACAGACGACGGAAGAGAAAATAGACTGGATAAAAGAATGTGATAGACAAATGAAAATTAAATACTGTGCAAGTGAACTGACAATGTGTTGTATCAGTAATAGTAATAGTGATAATGAGGATTCATAAAATCGTGGAGTGGAATGGGGTGGGGTGAGGTGAAGGGGAACAATAAACATAGGGTTGTTAGTAATTTGTAGAAATATATATATCATAGTTTACATTTCATAAAAGTCGACAACACCATTCCTCACCTCCGGCGCCCCTACCACTGCCGCCGCAGTCGCCAATGAACACGGGGCAAGGAGGGCGAGGGTAGAATTGGGCAGTAGCAGCAGGATGTGTCGACGGATCGGAAGGGAGGCGGCAGTGACTGAAGGCGCTGGGAGCGGGGGAGGTACTAGTAACAACACAGCATCGGATAAATTTGAACAAGGATTGACAGAGAGAGATAAGTCAACGTTTTCTATCAGTTTCAAACAACAACAGTGATGATGATAATAATAATGATGATAATTAATATGATAAAAATTGACGACTCTTCAAGAAGAAGAACCAGAAAGTTAGTAAAGATTGATTCAAAGAAGTGTGACACAAGGAGAAAACGCACTGTGTACAAGCAAAGAAATAAAATAAGACTTGGTTTTCCTTTTGTTAAGAAGAGAGAGAGGAAAGCAGAGATCCACTGAGTCAGTCAGTCAGTCAGTATCATCATAAATGTGAATGTATGTATATATGCACGTATACAGTTAGTTAGTTAATTCGTGTGTATGTGTGTAAGAAAGCGAATCATTTCTTACCAGTTGATGGGAGAAAGACAGCTTTAATATTTGCAATGGGATTGACAGCCGATCCATTCACATTATTCACATTACTACAATTATTCTGTGATGCTAGTGCAGCATTAATTCCATCATCGAATCCATCATCGCGTTCTTCACTCCCTGTAGCTGGTCGAGCGAAATCCCATATTAAGATGGTATCATCATGCGATGAAGAGACAATCTGGAAATCATCGAATTGCAGACGGAATACTCGTCCCGTGTGCTGTTGCAGCGTGTGAATACACAATTGGTTCGGTTTGGAACGTGGATTCAGCGCAGCTTTTAAATTCCACACCTTGATTTTTCTTTTAAATATATTTGATAATTAAAGAAAGTACAATAAAATAGAAGGATGAAATGTTAACGAACGAAATATTAAAATGTGATAAATAACAATTTACAATAAAGGTTTCTTTGTATTTCTCACTCAATGAATGAATGAAAAACAAAACGATATTGTTGTTTTTACTGACGTTTCGTTATTTAATGCTGCTGCTAATAGCTTTATCAAAGTATTATTAAACCTGAATTTACAAAATCTCAGCATATATATAACAAAGAGTTTAGAGGTGTGAAAATAGACTCTTCGGAAGCAAAATCAAACGTCGGTGAACTACCATTTCTAGACTTCATGCCTAGTTAAGAGGAGGGAGAACGGACATTTTAGTATATCCATATTCAGGAAGAAAACCCACTCCAACAAATATTTATAGACTTCGGATCATTACACCCCATCAGCGCAAAGATTTCAGTTGTTTCAAGTTTTCCTAGACGAGCACACCCTCTGATAACGGATGAGAAAGAAAAAGAAGAAAAAGTATCGAACATTACTGAAACTCTCAAGCAAAACAACTACCCAAGGAACTTCATCAACAAAATCAACACTGACATTAAGTATGGTCGAAAATGCATTCCGAAAACATGGACATCAACAGTCGTCATTCCATATAGAGCAGAGTGCCCAATCAGCCTAACATTAGAGTTTTGTTCAAAGCATCAGAAACACTACGAAACAACCTTGTCCATATAAAAGACCATATCCCTAAAGATTCTCTATCTAATTGTGTCTATAAAATAAAATGCTTGGAATGTGATGCGATATACATCGAACAAACATCTCGAGAGATCAAAATCAGAAGAAATGAACACCGCAGAGCATCTATTCGACCACAGAGAAATCTATGAGACTGGAAAAACTTGAAAAATCATCAGCCATAGGTCTACATGCTATGGAATTAGGTCACAAAATTGATTTTGACAATATTGAAGTAATCCAGAAAAACTTCAGAAATCACAAAGAACGTCTAATATCAGAAGCACTTCATATCAAGTGGAATCCAAATTGTTTGAACTGAATAGGAATGATGGACTAAAACAGAATCTGACCTGGTTACAACACCTCCCTCCCTCATCAAGTGACAAAATCAACACGAATGTGATATGCAAGTTCATTATGTAAACACACACTGCTTTTATTATTTTACACAATGATCAAATCCAACAATCTACACTTGGTTTTGTTATCTTTACCAATTGGCAAACTTGACAACGAAAAATGACCCCAGACTGACGAACGATGATCAAGTTAGTAAACTTTATTTTGATACCATAACAGATGTACTACTACCTTTGTTAATTGGTTTAGTGATCTTCATTGTTATTTTGACTTTCAATATGTCCTTTTAACTCTTTGTTATGTATATCCTGAGATTTTGTAAATTCTGGTTTAATAATACTACTTTGATAAAGCTATTAGCAGCGTTAAATAGCGAAACGTCAGTAAAAACAATATCGTTTTGTTTTTCATTCATTCATTGGGAAATACAAAAAAGAACCTTTATTATAATGAATATCATATACCCAATGCCCAAAAGATTTTTTCACACTGTTAAAAGTGAACTTAGTTTGGACATAATTAAAAAATAACAATTTAATTCACAACAATTATGCGAAAATATCTATGGATAAAATCATGTCGATTCCGATATAAAGATAATGTACAATGGAAACTATTCATCTCCATGAAGGCATATTATACAGTTTACTTTGGTTAAAAGACAAAATTTCAACGATTGATGATTGTTTCGCAAATCAGAAGTTAGCATTCTGATAAAATCAGTCTTCATCCTAGGCAAAAACAGTTCCGAGCATGCAGTTCACTCATGGCCAAGTATAAGATAACTCTGTAGGACTGATCTTCATTGCCTCTTGAATTTAAAGGAAGCCAATGTTGACCAATTCACTTATTCGGGGAGTTAAATCAACCCAAATGGACTAAATTCTGGTGAAATTTTAGCATGAACACAAACGCTTTGTGTGGCATTTGCCAGCTTACATCACCACACCACTAGCGTAGACATGATATCCGGCCTTAAGCTAAGAGTCGATGTGTAGTCCAGTCCAGTCCCGTTGTAGCCTCCCTTATCTTATGTTCATCACAACAGGAGCAAATCATATACCAAACATTAGAAGATTGCTGCTGCTCCTCATGGTGTTGAAAAGACCGCATTTTATCAGCATATTCACCTAGAATGGAGGACTACATATTGTTCCCTGGTAATAATCCAATCCCTATATCGATGAAGTTAGTTCGGGTTAATTTCACTAGTACAATTCCTATGATGAAATAAAAAACAGAAATGGCAACAGTGGATATCCCTGAGCAACACCACTGTTCGTCATCACTTAAGATGATAACTCTCCGTCGGCACGATATACTTTCTCGCCACTCCCTTCACGACTATGAAAACACTGTCATAGTACCTTTCGGTCGAAGCGGGGAAAATCCCTCCTTTATTCAGGTCAAGAACTATGATACAGGTGTTGGACTCTGATAAATATGCCACCCTATGTTCGAGAATCTGTTCAAAGATGAAGAAACACAACTCAAGAACAGATGGACTTGAACAAAAAACCTCGATTGTTGGGGTAGGTTGGGGTGGGGAGGCTCGAACACTTGACTTACACAGAGGTTGGAAATCCAGCGCCTACACACACCAATAAACCACAACTCCAATGACACGGAAGAGAACACAATGCAAGAGTACAGATCAAGGTAGCAATTATAATTGTAGAGAGGAATCAGACATTTGAAAAGGAGCAAACGAACAAACTTCATGTAATGGTGATAATTTTCTCTTTTGATTATAGCTTGATTCCATACTGTACTTTTGGTACAAGTATGGAATTTTCGGCACGTTGTTATCGGTAGCTCAAATTTTGCAGGCCGACCATTGTTATCAGGTGTGCGCGTCGGCAGGGGATCGAATTCCAGACCATGTGCATGGTCGGTGAGAGTCCTAACAGCTGCTGTGTTCATTTACAAGCTATACCAATTTATTATTTATTATTAATATTATTGCTCCTTTGGTTTCCGAGTGGAACAACACATAGCTTCAACAGCACATCTCCATCTTGTTCTATTCTTTCTGCAGTGCTACTCAGTTGACTATACGATTAACCATACTCTCCTTATCTCCTTGATGTCACCCTCAGACCTATGCCTAACTCTTCGTTTCTGATTCGAATTCCATTCGAGCCATAAACTGGAAGATGATGTCACTCGACGGTTTCCTCAGCATGTGTCTGATATACCCCCCCCCTACTTTCCTCGCCATATTTGTTGAGTAGTAGTAATTAGTTAGTTGGTTTGTTCATTCCCATAGTTTCGTATTGCTAATTCTTCCTGGTCGGCTATCTGACCTTTACTAGGGAGCCAGAGAAGGTAGATGTTGATATGGTCTGAGGCACAGAACTGCCTGCCAGTGCACACGAAAGCAGAAATCTTGAATACGATCAAGCTACTGAAAGCCGGACGTACAGACAGCAGGGGGGCCAGATGGACTTCCCCCACCCCGAAGCACTGAAAACGGACCTAAAGACTGTGGCAAATATGTTCACGCCATTGCAAAAGATTTGGAAGGAAGAAAAGGTGCCTACCGATTGGAAGAAAGGCTAGCTAGGTACCTTGTCAAGCTACCAAAGAAGGGAAACTCACGCCTCATTCTCCACGCCAAGTAAAATGCTAAGTCACATCATCCTGGAGAGAATGAAAGATTCACTGGAAGCGCAACTCCACCCGCCAGAACAAGCTGGATTCAAGAAGGCAAATCATGTGCTGATTAAATTGTGACTCTACGCACCGACATCGAACAGAGCATGGAATAGGAGTCAAATATCACTCTATCTCAATTTCATCGACTTCGAAAACGCCTTCGACAGACGGTGTTGACCACGAAGTAATTCGGAAATTACTTCAACACTACGGTGTCCAGTGCCTCAACTCTTTATCAACCTAATTCAACAGCTGGCTACATGACAATTAGGCCACGTGTCAGCTGATCCACAACGGAAAAATCAGTGAGGCGTTTGAAGTGAATACAGCAGTAAGACAGGCTGACTGCCTATCATCACATACGATATTCTGAATTGTGGTGGACTGAATTATGCGCTAGACTGTGCACAAGGAGTGAGAAGAAAGGAATACGCTGAACCGACAAGAAGACTCTAGAAGATCTGGATCTCTCAGATGATATATATATCTAATGTCACAAAAACATCTGCAGTCGAAAACAACAAGTTGATAGAAGCAGTGCAAACAAGGTAGGACTTCTCAAGTGAAGGATAGATAAAGGATAGAAGTGATGAAGGTAATCAACCCATGGCAACAACAAACAGCACCACTTACTACCAATGGGAGAAATTTGAGAGAGGTCACTTCACTCACTTTTCTGACCAAGCAGCATCCTGTCAACTACAGACGGCCGGCACGGATACGAATGTCAAAAATAACCAGGATAGGAAAGGCAGGGCACACTTTCAGTTTGGAAATTTTCTCCAACCAGCTGGAGGAGTATAAACAATGAAATTCGAATTTTCAACACTAATGTGCTAAATCAGTCACTTCTTCCATATGGGTCAGAAACTTGGCTGGTACATCACTGAAAACATTTCCAAGAGTTAGCTAGCTGCAGACTTTTATCAACAGCTGCCTTCACTGGTTACACACTAAAGATCAAGATGACCAGACAGAAAGGATTAACAACAAGAAACTCTGATAGACAGCGAAACAATCAACAACCTTTTATTTTATTTTACTCCTTTGAGTTCCCAGTGGAACATAGGGCCTCAAGAGAGAGCTTGGAAGTTTCAGTAGCATTGGTGTATTTTACGGCATGAAATTGCTAACCTCATGCCCAGCCTTCCCTATTTGTCAGGCTTATAACCCGCTGGAGGGTGGGGTAAGGATGTGCGCCGGTCGGGATTCCAACCCCGGACCACACGCATGGTTGGCGGCCATCCTCTCGCTGAGCCACCGACGAACAAAAGCCTACCAGCTCCGGTAAAGTGGATTCGAACCACCGACCCAAGGATCACTGCACCACCAACCTACAGTCCTCCGCCCTACTCAACTGAGCTATCGCCGGACCAGAACCTGTTGCTCCACAAATATTTTGAAGAAAATAGAGATGGATCGGACAGTTGTTGATGAGACCGTTGGATGACATCGCACGCGACAAGTTGAGTGTAGCTCCGAGGTTGACATAGAGGAAATCGTGTAGGGAGAAGATGAAAATAGCTTATCGGTAACTGTGGGGACTGCAGAGATTGGGACAAAATGAAGATGTACTGCTGAAGCCCCATGTTCCATGAGGGGAACCCAAGGGGGTGAAATAATGATAATCACGAATTATAGAATAACACAAAAGGAAAACTACGATAGAGTGTGAAAAAACGTTTTCACCTACTGTGTACACACAAAATTAAAACAATATTAAATTTTCCTACTTACCCATCATATGCACCTGATACAATACGCTTAGAATCAAAACGGATACAGCGTACAAGTTCCTCGTGTCCTTCAAGTACACGGAAACAAACACCAGTTTCAATATCCCAAATACGAATTGTATTATCTGAACTGCCGGAAACAACTAATCGATCCCGATATTGTAGGCATGCAATACCTCGTCGATGACCGGTTAACGTGCGTACATATGCACAGGTATCTGTAGCCCAAACCTGAAATATATAAACACATGATATATATATAAAAAGAACAAATTGAAGGATTAGTGAGGATTAGAGAGGTTTCGCGTACATTTCGGATTGTGAGGGCGATTGTTACCTCCCGGCCGCCAACACCGTGGAAGTTGGTTGCGCGACCGCAGAGCCCAGAGGACAACTGCTTGAGGCCGGTCACACGAGGCCTGTTTTTGTTTGTTCTTTTTTATTTGGTGTGTCTCAGTAGCATATTTATCACTTCTGCCCTGTGACACGGCAGCAGGAAGCGCGGTCGTTGTTAATCCGGGCCCCGACCGATCCGGCATGATATTTTGTGATTTTGTTTGGGTCAAAGCAATTGGATTGGGTAACTGCTTTTTGTCTAACTGCTATCCAAACAACCCTTCTGGCATGGTAGGACCTCAAGCGACACAAGTATCAGCCAGTATAGCTTGTTGGGTCATTGCGGTGTTCAAGCCCGACCACCACGTGTCAAGGTAGCAGCTTTCGGTCGGGCTAACAAATTGAAACCAGATATATGAACAGATAGATACATTTAAAGTGAGTTTTTTCATACCAACTGAACAGTTGTTTCATCCTAGATTAGTAGCCATCAGCACTGCGTACCTGTGGTCCTGTGGTGAGAGCTGTCTACTAGCCAAATTGGTAGACAGTAATTTACGTCAATGTTTACGTTCCCAAGATTTGTCGTGAGAAAATGTGAACAAAGATTGATTCAAAACCGACCACAGCATACTTTGCGTAGGCGGATGCAGTTAACATTTGGAGGATTGAACATTCAAGAAACAGTCACAAATAGATGAAAGATTAACTTTACGTGAGAAACAACCAATCGGAAGACTGTCTTTGTTTACTTAAATATCCATAGTAATGTACATGAAAATATATAAATATGCGTTGATTTCCTTAATAAATGATCTGTTGCCTTCTGTCGTTACAGTCCAACCTATGATCGAATCTAGCACCTTCTGGCTATGAGATCAAGCTGCTCGAGCAGGAAGATATACGTTGTGAAAATATAAAATATCATTTGTGGAGTATAAAAATCACCACTCACTTTGATTGTACGATCACCACTAGCCGAGACAATATACTTATCGTCAAAATCAACAACATTGACAGCAGCTCTATGTCCAACAAGCACCTGGCGCAATTGAACATCTTTTGGCCATGGACCCATATCCCAAACTGCTATACTACGATCCTAGAAATTAATAATTTGAAGCAAAAAGAAAAATAGACAGGAACTGTTGAATAATACTGACAATAGAGAGTATTAATTAATGGTGGAGGGGACAGGGGGAATAAATAAAATTCGTAATATAATAGTAATTATTTGCTTTGTTGCAAAACAGTAATTATGTGATACAGTGTGGAATTCTCCGAATTTGGCACAAAATTGCATATAATTTACTCCACATGGCATATGCCAACTTACGTCATCTTTGGTTTAGTAGACGGGATATCCGGCTGGTTCGGTCGGTCGGTCGGTTTTCGACATAGAACTTTGCACATATGTGCGGCAGTTCAAGTCGCCACACTCCCTCCTTGTAGCACACAAAGCAAGAGAAGAAAGTAGGAGAAATGCATATCAGAGACAGTAAACAGGGGTGTGAGACAAAGGAATAGTAATAACGGAGAACAAAACAGTTTAATTGGAAATCATAAGTCACAAGGAGTGGACGCATCTGCGCCACTGAGAACGACTGGTTATCGATCAAAGGACGTGTATACTACTCAGCAGTTCGCTCTACCCGCCTTCATGACTGTGAGACATGGCCACTGAAAGTAGAAGATATGAAAAAGCCGGCTAACTGAAGTGAGCTTCACGAGCCATTTCCTCTCAGGACCTTGGGCAATAGAAGGCCTCACAACTAAATGATCCGGCTTACAGAAAACAACTACATCTGTTTGTCTGTCTGTTTTCAACATAGAACTTTGCACCACTGTGCAGCAGTTCGAGTCGCCACACTTTACTCAGCACACAAAGCCAGAGAGGAAAGGAAAAAGAAACGCAAAATAGATACAATAAAGAGAGATATGAGGCAAAAAGAATAGTAATATCGAACAACAGTATAGTTTTACTGGAAATTATATGTCACAAGGAGTGGATGCATCTGCGCCAGCCATTGAGAACGATTTTGAGCCATATCACCGATTGTCTCCAACCTTCATTGGTTTTTACCGCCCCGAGGACCCCAACTGGTCAGGAAGTCTACTCCCTCCCACATGGCTTAAACTAACTAACATCGATATCATCCTCCTGAGATACAAAAATATTCTCCACATCCAATAAACTCGAACCCGTGAATTCTTCAGAAGTACTGGTCAAATCACTACTCAACTAGTGAATGCTGGTAAATAAATGGCCCAGACGTCATGAGCTATGAGTCATAAAACAGAAAGCTAATTAAAAATAATCAAAGCAGAGACTCCCACAAAATTTGAAGTTAGCAAATACTGATTTTCTGAATAGACACAAACGTTGATAATATATATCCGCCATCAACCGATTCTTCAGCAATAAAATAACCGCTTGTAATAATCCCCACGGCAGTTGGTAATGAGCCACACCTTTCGTGTGACAACTAATTGATATCATTTGGTTGCCCAAAACCTCACTCGGTTGACTGAAAGTTGAGCACCTAGACTTATACATTATAATTGTCCCCTTGGGTTCCGAAGTAATTTACAACGGGAAACTCACGGAATCCTTCGAAATGAAGACGGGAGTAAGACAAGGCTGTCTATTATCGCCAATGATATTCCTGATTGCAGTAGATTGCATAATGCGACACACAGCGGCGAGCAGCGAGAAAACAGGCATAAAAGGGACCCACACAAAAAACTTGGAGGATCTGAAATTCACCGATGATATGTCTGATTTCCCCCAAACTTGAAGGTATGCAAGTGGAAAGCAACAAGTTGGCAGAAGAAGCATCAAAGATAGGACACCACTTCAGGTGAACATAGAGAAAACACAGGTGATGAAGATTCCTGGCCAACACCACCAACAGCAACAACAACAACAGACAATGATCAGCATGAATGGGAGAAATCTGAAAGAATCTCTGCTTTATAGACCAACCTAACTAGGAAGCATCGTTTCAACTACAGGCGGACGAAACTGATGAGGATATCAAAGCAAGGATCGCGAAAGCAAGATCCGGATTTTCAACTCCAATGTGAAATTAGCGCTGCTCTACGGATCAGATACTCACACTGCGTAATTCCATAATGGATAAGATTTTATTTTGATAAATCACACAGTGTAGTACAGTTATATTAACTGATGACGTTTCGAGTACAAACTATTGCTCATAATCATATCAACTTGATATGATTATGAGCAATAGTTTGTACTCGAAACGTCATCAGTTAACATAACTGTACTACACTGTGTGATTTGTGCGTCGGTGGCATAGCGGTTAGGACGCTCGCCGATCATGCACAGGGTCCGGGGTTCGATCCCCGACCGGCGCACTCCTTTACCTCGCTAACCCAGAAATAATGCTGGTGAAGAGGAAAGGTTAGGCATGAGGCTAGCAACCCCATCCTGTAAAAATAAACACTGCTACAGAAACTTCAAGCCACTAGCTTGAAGCCCTATGTTCCACTGGGAACGTGAAGGAATAAAAAAAAACTGTGATTTATCAAAATAAAATCTTATCCATTATGGAATTATACTCTACCACAGTGCCCAAGTTTTATACTTATATCAATAATACTCACACTGCGTGTCACGGAGGGCGTGTCACTTCGAACAAACTACAGACTTTCATCAACAACTGTCTTCGCTCAATACTCAAGATCAGATGGTCGGCCAGAAAAGATCAGCAACAGAGTGGGATCTCTGAGAGCGAACCAACCCAGCTGGAACCAATTGTGCAACAAATATGCAGGAATAAATGGAGGTGAATTGGCCATACTCTGAGGAAACCATCAAGTGACATCGCGCATCAGGCCAGTGCTCGAGTGGAACCCGAAAGGGAAGCGGTGAGTTGGTCGTCCAAGGGTGACTTGGAGGAGGTCATGTGAAGAGGAGATAAAAGACGTGGAGCCAGGTGAAAACTTTAGCAGAGAACTGAACGCAATGGAGACATTTGGTTGAGGCCCTATGTTCCTCTAGGAATTAAAGGTAATAATAATAATAAAAGGGTTCCGAGTAGAACATAGGGCTTCAGCAGGACAACTCCACTTTGTCCTACTCTCTGTAGTCCTCTTTATCTGACCCTCCGACTAATCATAGTCTCTAATCCCCTTCATGTCACACTCTGACCAACGCCTAACTCGTCATCTCCTATTCGGTTTCCAATCGAACGATGGCCTGGAGTACGATACCACTCAACGGTCTCCTCAGTATGTCTCTGATCCATCTCCATTTTCTGCAAAATATTTGTTGAGTGAGGAATAGATTCTTGTATAAACCTACGTATGTACTACTGATTGTTCGGAATGAGTAGTGCTTGCCAGCCAGCCAGCCGGATAGAAGTAATTTAAAAAACCGGACGGCCGTTTCACTCCTTCTGGAACGAGCTTATCAGTCCGCGGTGTGCCCAGTATGACTCAGCTCTCTGAGGTAAATCAGTGCAAACCATCCGATTTATATCACCTCGATCTGGCTAGCTGGAAAGCACTGCTGGTTAATAATGAGTAGTATGCAACTATGACTCATCTCAACCAATCAGTAGTACACAGTATTATGCAAATTCGCCTTCTTTCTTGGTTACAATTTATGGTATCAAGCAGACCACACAGTGTGTCTTATCTGAATAACTTGGTCTCCAGAGGAACTGTGTAAATTGAAAATTGTGAATTTGGTTCAATAGATTCAGAGGGTTGGTTCAGTCCCAGAGTTGTTTCCTGCTAATTCTTTCTGACCAGCCACCAAGGCAGCTATTGATAAAAGTCTGCAGTGGCCTGCTGGAAATGCTTTTGGTGACATGCTGGTCAAATTTCTGACCCATATAGAAGAATTGAATAACTTAATATTGGTGTTAAATTTTGTTGTGCTATGCTCCTCCAGCGAAACTACATGTGGAACGGACGAAGATGTCAAATCCAGGTAGCCAGAATAGGAAGCAAGGAAAGCAAGATAGGCCTTCATCAACTTGAAACCAGTTTGGATATCTTCTACACTCAGCCAGCATAAGGAACACGATTCGCATTTTCAACACCAATACCAAATCGGTTCTTCTGTACGGGTCAGAAACTTGCAATGAATGTGAGTGACGAAAAGGATTTCCAACAGCTTGTTGTAGAAGACTTTCATCAACAGCTGCCCCCCTTCGCTGACTCCATACTGAAGATCAAATGGCCCATGGAAAGAATAAGCGACAAGAAACTCTAGCTGGGAACAAAGCAACAAGCGAGAGCTGATCACAAATATGTAGGAGAAAGTAGAGATGGATCGGGCATACGCCAATGAGGAGGCCGTCGAATGACATCGCATACAATGCAGGCCATTGCTCAAGTGGAATTCAAATGGGAAGCGACGAGTGGGTCGTCAGTGCGAGCGAGGATGACATGGAGGAGATCGTGTGAGGAAGAGATGAGAGAGTATGGTCAATCGTGGGGTTAGCCAGCTGAAGAGAACGACAGAAAACAGAACAAAGTGGATATGTGTTGTTGAAGCCAGTCGTATGTCCCACTCGGTACGCAAGGGAATAATAATAATAATAATAATAATAATAATGCTCCTCCGGCGGAGTATAGAAAATTTCCAACCAAACTGATTTCGCAGTGATGATGAATGCAGATATGATAGACAAGATTTGTAGCTCAGGTGGATGATTTTGATGTGGTTGTGTTCTCTGAGCTGGATAGTTAATTTGCGAAGCTTTCATCACCCTACTAGGTGGCATCTTCAGCGCATACTTCAATTTGAAGTGAGTCACATCGAGATTGACAAAATTTATCAACCGATAAGAAAGAAACCTCACACACAAAGGGTCAAAGTTCAAGTCAAAAAAACAATCAGTTCCCATACAAGTAACCTAGAAGGTGTGAAAACGTACAAAAACAATCAGAGTCACGTCCAAGGTCACCCACCAGGAGAGATGACTGAGAAACTCGTGGAGAAATCTAAAAGCTCACTTCAACAAATTGAAGTATGCGCTGAAGATGTCACCTAGTAGGGTGATGAAAGCTTCGCAAATTAACTATCCAGCTCAGAGAACACAACCACATCAAAAAAGATGATGAATGTGTCTCTCTTGACTTTCTGATCCTAGCGGCTGGTTTTGACATCCTCATCGGCGGATAACAAGCCTTCTCGTTGGACAGGATGCTGCACAAGATTAAGTAAGCGAAGGAAGGAAGCAACCTCTTTCATATTTCTTCTATTTTTAGTTATGATTGATGCCTAGATCTTCAAAAACCACTGACTATTACTCAACACTTCTTGCTTGGTTTTTATTCTAGGGGAAAAGAAACAGAATAGATTTACTTACCTACCCACTATGAAAATGAACCCAAGTCATTTACACAAGAATAACAATAACCACTACAACCACTACAACTCACTTTTGAACAGGTTACAAGGACATTATTTCGAAATCTTAAGTGTAACACAGCCTCTGCATGATGATTAATCACACTCAAGCAACAACCAGTTGATAGATCCCATAGACGAACAGTTGTATCACTTGAACCACTGATCAATAAATTTCCAATATACTGTAAGCATAACACAGAACCAGAATGACCTTCAAGGACCTACAAAAAGAAAAAGCAAGGTAATAGAGAAAAAAACAGATTTTCTTTTTAAAGTACTCACTCAAAAATAGTTATTATAACACAGGGACAGTGAGAGAAAGAGTGGAGAAGAGAAAATCAATAAGATATAATTGGATTAATTGTAAAGTAAATAATTATATATACATATTCAATAAATAATTATGCCTTTTTACAGTATGACAATCAGCTGTTTTTTGGATGAGTGGATGTAAAACACGAAAAGTTGAGATAAATTCAGAGTTGTTTGGTTAGCAATTAATACTGTTCTCTGAGCTGATTGGTTTAGTTACGTAATTGAAAGCAATTATGCGTTTAAATGGATTTTGTTTTCCGTATGATTGGTGGTATCCAATCATCATTCAAAATAATAATAATGTGCCCTACACTTCTTCTTTGAATCCTTCTGTCTCTATCTCTCTGCCCATGTTGTTCGGAATATCTGAACAATGCAAGTTAGGTTTGTGGTGATATTAGATGGTTGGAGGCAATCGGCAGGAAGCCTTGGAACTACGTTTAGGGCTAGTTGGCACTCACCAGTCAGCAAGGCGTATCTGCAACCTTGAAGGAACTCATGTCCCTTCTGAGATTCGAACCCGCGTCACCCAGTGCTGCAGTCAGAGACGCTACCAGTGAGCTATTCGGGCTCGCGATTGACCACCTGTAGGACTGTAGTGGATATTTTGATTTGACACTAGTAACTAGTGTGATGCGTCTAGTCCTCTCTTTGGTGCAGACTGAATTCTATCAGTCAGGTTGTAATGTGGCCACCATTCTAGGTAGCTCGCCATCACGGTGTACATTGTTTGTGATGATATTAGATGGTTGAAGGCGATCGGCAGGAAGCCTTGGACCTAGGTTTCGTGCTAGTTAGGTTGTATTCATATGTAAGAACTACAAAAATGTTGAATTAAATTGCCTTTCATTGGACACTAGGCTGGTAACTAACTAATGTCAAGTGTCCAGTCTTTTCATTGGTTGCTACACACTGAATTCTATCAGTCAGTCAGTCAAGTTCGCCATGTGGCCACCATACTAGAGAGACAGTGGCACGCCATCACGGTACACTTTCAGTTCTGCTTATTAGATGGTTGGAGACAATCGGCTACAGGAACTCCTGCTCAACCTGGGTTTCGTGCTTGCTGGCACTCATCAGCCAGTCAGTCACAACACGGCATATCTGCAACGACGTTGAAGGGACTTATATCCACTCTTCTGAGATTCGAACCCAAGTCATCTAGTGAGTGTTGCAGTCAGAGACGTTTTTTTCGGGATCACGATTAACTTCATATACGACTGTATTGGACACTTCAATTAGACACTAACTAGTGTCATGTGCTTAGTACTTTGTTGGGTGCAGAATGAATTCTATCAGTCGAGTTTGTACTGTGGCCACTAGGCTAGGTGGCTGACATAATTCAATCTGCACCAAACAAAGGACTAGACGCATTACATTAATTACTCACTACCAACTGGGTGACACCCGTTCGAACCTCAAAAGAAGGGACATGAGTTGCTTCGAGATTGCAGATACGCCCTGCTGACCAGTGAATGCCTAGGTCAAGCAAGGCTTTCTGCAGCTGATTGACTCCAGCTATCTAATATCAACAATTAAATTATCAACGAGAGACGCTGCATACACTCAATGAAAACGAGTGCATTCGACAGAAGTGCGGTGTATGCCATATATACATATATATATATATATATATACACTGATTGATCAGGGTGGGGTGGTAGCTAGCTTCACTCACACCTCACCTCATTTATTACTTGGGACTTACACCACCGAAAAAGCCAGGTGGTTTGGGAGTCCATCTATGGCCGGAAATGGAACTTGGACCAGGTGTCACGTGGTTGGTTGGTTGATGAGCACTGAGAACGATTTTGAGCCATATCGCCAATTATCTCCAACCTTCATTGGTTCTCACCATTCCGAGGACCCCAACCAGTCAGACAGTCAGTCTACATCTCCTTACGTGGCTGGCTGACTCAAACTAATTATTATGGATTTCATTGACTGATGAAGCAATGCTTTGGTTTGACCACCGCTGGCTCTTTTCCAACCTAACCTTATGTCAGCTAACATTGCCCTTTTTCGAGGAAGACGGTGGCTAGGCATGCGTAACACATATCCTAACCATCTCAGTCAATGTAGCTTCACAGCCCCGTCTATTGACTTCCCCTCCTTACCTATCATTCGACCGAAACCTAATCTCAATATTGCTCACTCTTTTATACCACCTAACAAAGGAGATAGAACCTGGACACCTATGATCAAAGACAGCTAGCCGGCCTTTTCACATCGTTCACTTCCAGTGACCATGTCTCACAGACATGAAGAAGAACAGAGCAAACCACTGAGCAGCATACACGTCTTTTGATCGACAGTCAGAAATCACGTCTACTAAGCCAGAGGTGGCGTAGGTTGGCATATACCAAGCGAGCCTTCTGTAACCGTGCTGAGATTTCCTCAGTTATCAACCCGCTGATGGGACTGATGCAACTTCCCAATCAAGTGAATGGTAGTCAACACGCTCTATCACTTCACTCCTGCCCATCTTTGGAGCTATGAATCAATCAGTGTAGTCCACTCCCGTGGTATCATCTTACATTTAACGGGGGAGGGCGAATCACATGCCAAAACATTCAAAGCATGCTGCTTCTCAAGGTATTCAGAAGACTATGTATTTTATTAGAGTCTTCAACTAGGAGAAGAAGCAAAGAATCAGTCGGGCATATGAATGTAACGCTGTGAAGAGAAGAGGAGAATGACTGAGTTGAATTAACAATTGGTAGATCATGTGATCCAATAGCTCTTACTTAAGATTACTCTTTATGTGGATGATATACATATGGTTCACTCACAAGCAAAAACAATAGTTACCATGGTGCAGTTATACTGTTATGCTGTTTTATAATCCATTGCCATCAAAGTGATCACACCCATGTGCTATGTACTTTTCTCATCTCAAACATTCTTCAGTTTTAAATTACATGAAAACTTTAAAAATATCTATTCTACTGTGTGTTTTTTTAATCTAATATAAGCTTTAAGAATGGATATATATGATGGTGATGATGATGATTATGAACAAATATACCTCTAAACTATTTATATAAGTGAGTTTACAATCAATAGTGTTCTCTGAGCTGGTTGTTTTAGTTACGGAGCTTTCGTCGTCCCTCTGGACAACATCTTCAGTGCATAAAATGAACTAATTTAAATTTCTTCATGAGTGGTGATAGAATTGCGTCAGCCAGCCTTTGTCTTTTGATATTTGCGTGGCTCAGTGAATCGGAATCGTAATCTTCGTATGTTTGGCATGCGATTCGCCCCTGTAAAATGTAAGATGATGTTGCAGGATTGAACTACACCGACCCCTAGATTAGAAATAGGATGTGAAGTGGTAGAGCACGTTGACCGCTTCACTTACTTGGGAAGTACCATCAGCCAACGCCAACGGGTTGATCTCTGACGAAATCTCAGCACGAATACAGAAGTCTAGTTTTGCATATGCCAGTTTACGCCATCTCTGGCGTAGACATGATATCCGACTATCAACCAAAGGGCGTGTGTACTGTTCAACAGTCCGCTCCGTCCTCCTTTATGGCTGTGAGATATGGCCATTGAGAGTGGAAAACATGAAAAACTTGGCTAGTTGTCTTTGATCATAGGTGCCTGTATTATATGTCCCATGTTAGGTGGTATAATAAGGTGAGCAATATTGAGATTAGGCGTCGAGTGCTAGGTAAGGAGGGGAAATCAGTCAACGAGACTGTGAAATTACATCGACTGAGATGGTTAGGACATGTGTCACGTATGCCTAGCCATCGACTTCCTCGACGGGCAATGTTAACTGATATAGGGTCAGGCTGGAAACGAGCTAGCGGTTGTCAAACCAAAACATGGCTTTATCAGTCAATGAAATCTACAAGTTAGTTTAAGCCACGTAGGAAGGTGTAGACTTCCTGGTTGGGGTCCTCGGGACGGTAAAAACCAATGGTTGGAAACAATTGCTGACATGGCTCAAAATCGTTCTCAATGGCGAAGATGGATCCACTCCTTGTGACTTATGATTTCCATTGAAACTGTTTCGCTCTTCTTTATTACTATACTTTTGTCTCACACCTCTGTTTACTGTCCATATTATTATGCATTTCTCCAACTTTCTTCTCTTCCTTTGTGTGCTACATGGAGTGTGGCGACTCGAACTGCCGAACATCGGTGCAAAGTTCTATGTCGAAAACCGACCGACTGACCGAGTGTATCGGAAGGTACACCGGACAAACAGATGCATTAGCGTATCAGTCGAGTTCATTACCCCGTTATTAATTAATTAACAGGCGCAGACATAACAAAGTAGCGACGGCCTTATTCAGTTCAGTTATAACAAATTGGCAACGGGGTTATAACAATTGGCCCGAGGGTCAGTTCAGTTAAGTTATAACACAGATAATACACACGCCTTACTGATCGATGAGTGCCAACAAAGCATGAAACCTAGGGTTCAGGGTTACCCTGACGACTGACTACTCTGACAATCTAGCATTATTTTTCAGTGTACCACAATGGCACGTCACCCACCTTGAAACCCACTTTGCAAACTCGACTACTGGTGGGATTCAGTTGGCACCGACACCAAGTACTAGACGCATGACACTGGTTATACCCCTGTGAACAATCAACTAATATATATATATATATATATATATATGTAGGTTTGTTACTGGTAGTATGCAAAATATCCCTCACACAAAGACAGAGAAACACGCCATCTGCTATTCAAAACTTGTTAAGAATGACAGCTTTCATGCTACACTGGTGTTATAGTTCAAGCTATTATTATTATTATTATTATTATTATTTCAATACCGTATCAAGTCATGGGAAAAAGTGAGTCGGTAGTATAGCGGTTAGGACGCTCGCTGACCATGCACATGGTCCGGGGTTCGATCCCCGGCCAACGCACTCCTTTACCTCTCTGAGCCAGAAATAATGCTGTTAAAGGGGAAAGGTTGGGCATGAGGCTAACATCTCCATCCTATAAATAAACACTGCTACAGAAACTTCAAGCCACTAGCTTGAAGCCCTATGTTCCACTGGGGAATGTGAAGGAAAAAAATGAAGTCATGAGTCGCAATAGGCATCAGACCAAACAATATTTTCACGAGTTTATTTGTACGGGATTTGATTTGTTTCTGGAGTTTGACCTCGGACTGATATCAATCAGTTAGAAAACCACTGAGTGCTGGACTGAACATGTGTTTCGTCCCAGTACGGCAGTACGCACCTACCGCCAAGGTTCAAACACAGGACCTACCGGTGGTTATACAAGGCAAGCTATAACTAGCTTGTAGATCATTCACAATTCAACAATATTCATCTTGGAGACAATGACGTCTCCAGTAAGTAAGTGTACATCAATTTTAACGAAGAAACCCTATAATGGGAAAATATTTCACTCCATAATGAATGATAATAAGCGAGTAACAGAAATGTCTCCAATAGAGATAAGATTTTATTTTGATAAATCACACAGTGGTGTTATACAATAATATTAACTGACGATCACGTTTCGAGCACAAATTATTGCCATTCATGATAATATCAAGTTACTCACACAACTTTTTCCTTCATTTATATGAATGAGTGAAATTGACCAGATATACCATATACCATATAAGGAGGGGACATCTGAGACCTTACGTAGGATTCTTAATAAAGCAGGAATTAGCGCGGCATTGAAACCTACAAACTCACTCAGGTAGGACAATCTGTGTAGGCTAAAAGACCCGGTGGACCCAATGAAACAAAATAATTTAATTTACAAAATACCTTGCAATGACCGTCAGTTAGGTCAACTACATTGGTCAAACTAGTAGATCCGGAGTAGTGAGATTGTCGGAACGTAAGAAATTAGCTAAGATAAGAATGGCTGACCCCGAGAAGATGAGTAATTTAGGAAAAAGCTCAGAAATTGCACTACATACATTAACACACAACCACACAATAGGTTAGGAGAGGGTTAAGATTCGAAGAAGTAATCTATGTAGGTGGAGAGAGATTGATTACTGAATCCTGGTTCATCGAGTCTACACCCAACACAACACATGCAACAGAAATGACTCAATGCAAATACCAGAGATATGCATGGAAGATATTATTACCACCAGTCAGACAAATCAGAGGAGAATAATAAATAATCTCAAAATTCTATTTCAGTTCACGTACATCACAACATTCTAACATGTTACTTATTATGACTATAGAAACACTCGTCTTATTTCCCATCTGACTGTAATTGATCAACAACACTCATATTATTATTTCTGAATGTACATTATTCCATACTGATTTTTATTCCAATATCTGGTCAATTCCACACATGTATATAAATGAAGGAAAAGTTGTGTGAGTAACTTGATATGATTATGAGCAATAATTTGTGCTCGAAACGTCATCAGTTAATATTATTATTATTTTTATTTTGATTATAGCTTGATGCCACACCGTATTTTCAGTACAAGTATGGAATTTTCAGCATGGATATCAGTAGCCTAAATTTCGCAGGCCGACCATAGATATCGGGTGTGCGTCGGCAGCGGATCGAACCCCAGATCATGTGCATGGTCGGCGAGAGTCCTAACCACTGTGCCACCGACGCACTGTGTAACACTGTCTTATCAAAATAAAGTCTTATCTATAATGGAGTTATACTCTACCACAGTGCCCAATTTTCATACTTATAACAGAAATATGGTTTAACAAAATTATTTTTTTCTAAAAACCAACTTACTTGTGTACAATGATAGCCATCGGAGCATGCTGCTCCACTGAAACCTTCTTGATTCGAGGCTTCAACACCACCACCAACACCAACACCGACACCGACACCTCCACCGGCTGAGACATCACTTCTTGGTCGATTTTTAAAAGCGGGATCACCATTCCCATCAGGATTTGCGAGAGCAGAAGCACCATCAGAGGTAGAAGCTTTATTCTTATTAGTTGTACAAATATTTGGTATTCTTTGCCATACTTTAATAGTATCATCTCTTAAACCACTAACAATTTTATGCTTATCATATTGAAGACAATAAACACCTTTTGTAACATCACTTCGACATGGGATCCGGGTTAAGTGATATTGACCTCTAGTCCAGTTATCTTCTACACGCTGTAAAAACAAAATGAGAAATTTATGAAAACATAAAAAATAAGAAGAATCAAGTTATTATAACTTCAAGTTCAAAGTGGGGGGAAGCCTATCTGTGATAGTAAATATTCATTCAATATTTGGATTGAGTTCATCATGAGCTGACACCAGTTAGAGAACCACCGGAAAACCTGAGAGTACTGTTGGAGAGCTGTTTCATCCTAATTTGGGACTCTTCATTAGTACGCACCCACATTGGGGAGTTCGAACTCAGGACCTTCTGGTTACAAACAAGGCGAGCTCGTCGATCATTGAAGAGTCCCAAACTAGGCTGACGAAACAGCTTTCCGGTATCCCCAGCTTGTTTTCCAATGGTTCCCTAACTGATGTCAGCTCATGATGAACTCCTCTATCCAATCAAACAAAATCTCTACAAAATCAGTACTTGAACATTCAATATTTGTTGACAAGATGACTATGAAGACTTCGGTTACAACCGGATAATTTCTACATCACCGTAATTTGATGGACAACATAACATGCGATTATTTATCGACTGTAAAAATGCAATTTTGCTGGCAAAGGAATTCACTGGTGGTACTGGTGTCTACTACATGATTCAGTGATTTGGCTAGCGCGTCACGAAAACCATTTGTAAAAAGACGACAAGCAGTTTATCGAAGGCGCTCCTTTTTGGTCAATTCATTTTCCCCTTTAAGCTGTACAATCGCATTTATACGCAATTATTTTTCCGCGGAAGAGAATAATAACAAAAGTGATGACCTATCAAAAAACATAGCTGTTAAATATTAGTCAATGCATAAGAGAAGTTGAATAAGTATATTATAGCTACGTCATCTTTAAGAATAATCTTCGCGAGTTGGTGTTCTCCAGCCGAAAATTGGTTTGAAGAAGTCTTAAGGACAAGACCTCACATCTAACCACTTCTATTTGCATATATCAGTTTCACCCGTTGCTGTGGAGCCACGTACATTGGTCGTTCAACGCGTATCTTGTCCAAAAGGATTCAAGAACACTATCCCGCATGGCTACAAAAAGGTAATAGTGGATGTATAAGGAGTGAGATAATAGAACATATCGTCAACAGTGTTCATTCCAGCTCAACAAACGCCTCCTTCAAAGTAATTTACGAAGTGAAGAAGGATCTACCAAAAGCGATACGCTTTTGTCTCCTTTGAATGACTGAAGGTTTATATATTCATTTAGAGAAACCGGAGCGATGGGGACAAAATAAAATTATTCAGCCACTTTTCCTATCATGGTAATGTGACAAGTGCTATAAGTGCTACTCTCTATATTGTTTTCCTCACTACTTATAACTCGCGTGTTTCTTCAAAACTTTTACATTATTCCACATTTTCCTTCGTTTCTATGTTCACATCCTGATTAGAACTCATTCAAATAACTTACTCACCCAATTGTGTAACTCTAATACACTGACTCAACACCGTTTATGCATTATGCATTGACTAATATTTAACAAACTATATTTGTGACAACTCATCATCACTTTTGTTGCTACTCTCTTTCATGAAAAGTAAATAGTGTATAAAAATGCGACTGTAGAGAGCTAAATGTGAAAAAGAATTCACCCACAAGAGCCTCTTCATTGAACCTACTTGTCTCCTTTTTCTAATAATGTTTGGATGGGAATTTTCCATGAACTAAAACTACTTGTAACAAACTACTGCAAAACTTTCATCAACAGGTGCCCCATTTCGCTGACCGCATACTGAACCAAGGAACTCTGGGAACGGGCCAACCAAGAACCTATTGTTACACAAATATGCAGAAGAGAATGGAGGTCGACTGGACTACACATGCTAAAGAGACCGCTGAGTGACATCGCACGCTATCCTGCCAGGAGAAACCCGGACTGGATACAAGTTAGGAGTCCGAAGATAACATGGAGAAAATCATATGAGGAGGAAACAAAGGCTTATACAGGCAGTGATGGAATGATCCAGAAAAGATTTCAGAGCATAGAATACAACGAAAATGTACTGCTGAATGTCACACACTTACAGAATAAATAATAAACACATCTGCGGCACTATTTACCGATTTCGAGTCATAAAATCAAGAGTTTCCAGTCGTCAATGCTTAACACATCGGGGACTCAAGATAGGAAATTCATACCATCCTCTACATAACTGAGAACAAAAACAGATGGCGGCATCATGTTTTAGTTGTTTTAGACAACATTCTTAATCAGGGTGACAGTTCACAAACTTATCAACTAACTTAATTTAAAATCCTACGTAAAAATCGTAGCACTACCCATATTCACTCCATGATTACATCTCACGTAAACAATGGGAAGAAAATACTAATATTCAAACATTTGCTACCTTTCCGTATCTTTCAGCTTTTGCTGATTTCAAAGCAATAAAGTAGGGCAGAGTGAAGTACAGAACAGTCAATCATTGTCTTAAGTATCTTTATACCAAAGTTGGCGGGAGTCGGAGACCACCAAGCGAGATTTTTTTTAGAAATCAGTCTACAAGAGCTTATGAGAATTATCCCTAAGAAAGATTTTGTCATCGTATTCAACCATTTCACAGTTAAAACTCACATTAAATAAAAATGTCATGATGAGGGTCGCTGACAAACATTTCAGTGATAACTACGATATCCACCCCCAAGACTCCACATATCACATGCATGAGAGTACCAAAAGAAGCCTGCACTTATCATCTCTTGGAAAATAATGACGCTCTCTTGCAGTGTAATGTAAGAGGAGGGTATGAACAAAAACAATATATGATGTAGTGCATTAAATCGAATAGGGCTATAGAGTGAGTGAGTGAGTGAGTGAGTGAGTGAGTGAGTGAGTGAGTGAGTGAGTGAGTGAGTGAGTGAGTGAGTGAGTGAGTGAGTGAGTGAGTGAGTGAGTGAGTGAGTGAGTGAGAGGGTGAAGGAGATTAATTCATTCCTTTAGTCTTCATTTTGAGATGCAGGCGGCAGTAGAAAAGCTGTAACCGGGACATAATTACAACTTAACCAATCGGAAAAAAATAGTTAGAGAGAGGATTCAGTTGCCGGGAAAAGATTTTTTATGTACCAGTACTGTATGACGGCTGATGCCTAAACTGAAGCCAGCAGAATGGAACCAACACCTCGGACCCACTGGTTAGTACTCCAGCCGACGGGCCACCAGAAGAAAAAGTGGCAGGTGTGAGTTAAACGGTTTTCTACATACACAAAATCAAACTTTATTTTCAGCATGATGAAGGACTGTGGAATTCGTTAATAAACTTGATTGTTTCAGGTAATATTGTAGCAAGTAACCCTAAAGTGGCTTATCCCGACCGATACAGGTGCTACCTTGACGTGGTAGTCAGGCGCCCATATTGCAGTGATAGTGATCAGGCCAAGATGTTGGGGGTCTTTGGGAAAAGTTGTACTGATGGGAATCAGGCAAGTAACAGCAGTAAAGTGTCTCCCTCAGATGACCAGAATACCAGCTACGCCACCTCTCCACTCTGGAAAACAGGGGGGGGCTAGAAAAGCTTAACCCCAAAAACTGTACATCCCGACTCACCCTACGGTGGTCCGTAGCCATGTGTGACCGGCTTCAAGCAGTTGTCTCCTGGGTTCTGTGCACTGCGGTCACGCAACACGCAATTCTTTTTCTGTCTCAGGTACCTCAAGAAAAAATTAACTTCCACAGTGTGGTCACAGTCGGGGAGTAACAACCATACACAAAACCTGCTTATACAACGAGCCAAAAAAAACAAAGTCAAAATACTCCCTTTCTAATATATCCAGAGAGAGACTTACCGCAATGTCACGGATTATGCGTGGATACAGTTGCTTATAAAAACGATGAGCAAACATCACAGTTTCATAGGATAAGGCATCGTGTAAATCAGTTTCCATGTTGAAAGAGGAATTTGTATTCGTGAATCGATGTTGATGATGACTTGAACCACTGTCATTCGAATTGTAGGGAATCAGAGAACAGCTTGGTGTGTTGTTGTTGTTGCTGTTGCTGTTGCTGCTACTGCCAGGAGCATCGTTAACAGGATCTCTTGAAAAAGAAACACTCTGTGTTCTTGATATGTGATGAGATGAATGGGATGAATCAGAAGGATATACTGCAGGATGTTGATTGTTGTTCAAGTGACATTGACAAACTGGAGGATTTTGTTGCTGCTGTTGATTTGCACTACTACTATTACTATTACTAGTGGAATCTAACTTTGGAGAGAGTTTAGACGCTTCACACTCCATACATGAACTATTAGCATCAAGGAATGGAGAGAATTCGGTTAGTTTATGATGCCTGACGCCTATGGGAACTCGACGTCTTTCAAGCAATGCTGGCAGATAAGCTGGATCAGAATGATCAATAAACTCGATCCATCCACGACGTTCGCATAGACCATGCCATACTGGATCTGTGGCTACACGACGCGCCAGGAGACGTCGCCAAAGTTGATATTTGGCTACACTCCATTGCCAACCTCTAGAGGCAAGTTCCACTGAAAGTAGACTAGATGCATCTAACTGGACTAATATCATTTCAGCGAGATATGGGACTCCACGATCTAAAGGAATTGAAATGAAATACCAATTTTAGAAAAAGATTAACGTATTTATTTTAACGGCAACAGTGTGAATGAAAGTCATATTTACACAAGTGAACTTGAATTACCATTACAAGATATTGATAATGTAATTTATCCAGTTGTGTGAGATTTCATCATAATTTCCTCTTTCTTATTCCTTTACGCTCGCAGTGGAACATAATGAGGGCTTCAAGCTAGGGACTTGAAGTTTCGGTAGCAGTGGTGTTTATTTTTTACGGGATGGGGTTGCTAGCTAGCTTCATGCCCAAACCTTCCCTCTTTACCAGTCTTATTACTGGGGTTTACTGAGGTAAAGGAGTGGGTCCGTGACCGGGGATCGAACCCTAGATCACACGAGACGTGGTTGGCAAGCATTCTACTGCTGTATTACGGGGACGCATCATACATTCCTTAGGAAATCAAGATTATTCAAATCACAATATATGCAACCAATCTGCTTGATACCACAATGAAAAATGGTAAGCATGAAAGTGTCAGACTTCAGACTTCATGCTACTGATTGGTTGAGATGAGTAGATTGTACATCACTCACATCAATTAGTCGTACCTGGTTGACCAGGCAGATCGAAGTGATTTAAACGCCGGACAACCGTTTCACTCGTTTGTAGCCAAGTTCGTCGGTGATGTGCCCGGTTTCACTCAGCTCAAAGAAAAGAACCAGTCCACATCACCCGATTCCTCGCTGGTTACCTAGCTAGCTAGCTAGCAGCAGCTATTTGGGCGAATTAATAACACTAAATTGAAGTTTCAAACCGGGTACAGTGCTGATGAGCTTGGCCCCAAAGGAGAGAAACAACCGCCCAGTGTTCATACCACTGCGATCTAGTTAACAAGCACTACTGGCTGATGTATGCCATATACAACTGCTCAATCTCAATCAGTAGAATACAGTTCTACGGACTGACTAACTGACTGATTGACTGACTGACTGGTTTCAACGTAGAACTTTGCACAGATCTGCACCACTTCGAGTTGGATTATACTCAAGGTACCACACAAAGCAAGAGAATAGAGTTAAGAGAGATAATAAACAGAAATATGAGGCAACAAGAATAGTAATATAGAAGAACAATAGAATTTTATTGGTTATTATAAATCACAAAAAGTGAATACATCTGAGTCAGCCATTGAGAACGATTCTGAACCATATCATCAGTTGTCTCCAACCTTACTATCCAGAGGATCCCAACCAGTCACACGGCCAGTCTACATCTCCCTACGTAGCTGGCCCAAACTAACTGTTATGGATTTCATTGACTGGCTCTTTCCCAACCTCACCGACCCTATGCCAGCCAACATCGTCAGTTGTCGAGGAAGACGATGGCTAAGAATGCGTAACGCATATCCTAATACTCAACACCCAACCTCAATATTCCTCACAGGAGATAGAACGAAGATACCTATGATCAAAGAAAGCCAGCCGGTCTTTCACTTTCAATGACCATGACTTACAGTCGTCATCAGAACAAACTGATGAGCAGTGTACACACCCTTTGGTCCACAGCCAGGCGGATATCACGTCATAGACGGCGAAAGTTGGCATATACCAAACGAGCCTTCTGTATCCGGGCTGAGATTTCTTCAGTGATCAACTGGCTGGCATTGGCTGATGCAACTTCCCAAATAAGTGAAGTGGTCAACATGCTCTTCGACTTCACTCCTGCCTACCTTCGGAGCCAGGACACAATGTAGTCCAGTCCCGTAGCATCCTCTTACATCTGACGGGAGTGAATCGCATGCCAAACATTCGCAGATTGCTGCTCAATGTGTTTAGAAGACTCTGCATTTTGTCAGTTTTACGCATTGAGGTTATGAGCCACCTAGAATTTGAATAACATTGAGTTGGTAAGTTTTTCACATTTGTTTGTGGGAGGTAGGAGGGGTGGGGGGTAAATTTTATTTGATTCTGTGCGAGGCATCTCATCAATAATATTTTATTACTAATACTACGACAATTAAAAACAACCCAGACGACTATGATTCTATAACCTGGATAGAAAAACACCAATCTGATGGTGGTAATTATGAGAAGGCCAACCTTCAATCAAACCTTTAAACGTAATCACTAAAGCTAATAGACATAAAATGCTTACGTTTACTGCGCTATGATGAATTAAAGTGTTTTTAAAAAACAGCTAATTACAATATTAGGAAAGATAAGAAAAATATTTGTTGGTTTGCAGGAATTTGATTGGTTACAGGATTTCATCATGAAATCACATCGCTTATAGGACCATGGGAAAACCTGGGCAGCTGTTTCGTCCCAGTTTGGGACTCTTCATAGTAGCACTCATTGACGCCCAAACCCAGGACTTTCTGGTTACAAAGAGGGCTCGTAGACCACAAGATTTTAACGTTATCAGGAAGAAATTATTCTGTCAACTGACTCTTATTAGTAAAGTACACGTATCTATTCAAATATCCCTTAAAATAGAATTTATTAACATGTCTCACTGCATGGAGATGGGTTAGACATATGCTGAGGAGACAGCAGCCCTCCAATAGGACACCCTAAGTGAGGAACGACGAAAGGGAAATCCGAAGGTGATACGAAGGAAGTCGTGTGAGGAGATGGAAACTTATGAGAAATTGTGGAGCCGGGATAGGATGAAATGGAGATTTGCTATTGAAGCCCTCACTCAACAAATAGTAACATTTATCACACACCGACTTACGTAGCGTGTATATTAGACAATTGTGGTCAGTATTCTCCAAGATATTTACGCCACAAATCAATTTTTGTCAAGTGGTGGTTTGCAGAGAGTTGATTGGTCATAGGATTGATTACGAGCTGGCATCAGTTGGAGAATCATTGGAAAACCCAGGAGCATTGCCAGACAGCTGTTTCTCCCCATTAGTCTAGGACTCCTCAGCGGTTCGTAACCAGGTCCTTCCCATCACGAAGCGAGCTTATAGACCATTCAGGCACCGGGACCTGACCCAGTGGCCCATGAATTCCAACCTCTGGTAACTCCCGATACATGTAGCGCAACTGCCAGCCGATGTCATAGGCAAGTAACTGATCTCTTACCTGACCTGGTGGATCCCGCTGATTACTACTTCCTGTGTAAGGCCAGCATCAGATTAATTGTCAATTGTTGGTTTGCTGGGCTTTGGTTGATTACAGAATTGATCACGAGCTGATGAAGAGCCCCAAACTAGGACGAAACAGCTGTCCAATACTCCCTGATTCTCTAACCCATATCAGCTCATCATGAAATCCTGTTTAACCGAAGGTATGTCTTAGATGGATGTCTAAATGTTATATTCTGTCAGTTGGATGACTACTCAATTGCGAGTAAAACAAAAAGCCAGTCTTTAAATATAAAAAACCAACAACAATAGAAAGGTGACTTACTTTGAAGGGCAACGATGAAATCACGTTTCAACAGTGGTTCTAAAAAGTCATTAATTTGACTTTGTTGAAAATGTGAAATTTTCGATAATAAATGACAGATAAAATCCACTTGATCTCCACTTGACCAACAACTGAATGTATCTATACAATCTTTTTTTGCCATAGGAAGTGATAAACTAGTATTAGTATTAGTGTTATTATTATTATTGTTATTATGCAAACGTTTCTTCTTTTGATCAACAGGCATACCCGTATTGTCTGATGATGGTTTCGCCCGTTTGATATTTGAAATACAAGTACAATGAACCTAGATAAAAAAAAATATATGGAAAGCAAGAACTTAGCGCTTCTGTATTAATAAAAAAAACACATCAAAAACTGAAAATAACTCAGAAGTTAAAAATAAATTAGCATGGAATTGATAACAGATGTTTTAACACATTCAACACTGAGTTGGTGAAAAAAACTGGGCAAAGTTAAAGTCTAAGCACCACTAACTACCAACTACCAATTAGCGAATGACCTCGAAAGCACCAATCACGTGAAAGACGCATTTTTGTGTATGAAATACATAAATTTATGAAAAAATGCATAAAATCTGTAGAAAAGTGTTACAGAGGATACCTTTCTTTCATATGTGATAAAAATAGCTCTCAGTTTTAGGTTGGAGTATCAACAGAGTATAATTCATAGTGTAATACAGTAATATTTCCTGATCAATAAATTGTACTCGAAACGTGGTCATCAGTAAATATTACTGTATAACACTGTGAGACTTTATCAAAATAAATTTTACCCACAATGGAATTATACTCTACCACCACAGTGCACAAGTTCTATTCTTATATCAACAGAGTAATTTAACCACATTCTATGCATGTAATTATTTAGGTCTTCTAACAATAACAATCTTTCCTGAACCTAACCTTAACGTGGAAATATCCCTAAACTTACTGTAATCTAACTCGAACCAAACCTACTGTCGGCTTTGTTAAGTTAACCTAACCCTAACTTTTCCTTGGCTTAAAGCGTAACTTAGTCTTTCCCAAACCTAACCCAAAACTTGCCAAATATCCCATTGAATAACGTAACACTTCGGTGAGCATATTTTATTGATGATGAAAACATTATTTGCCTGGCTTCACTAACTTGCTCAGTGAGCATTTCAAGGTCATTGGTGCGGTCATACTCCATCGGTAGTTAGTGGTGCTTAAAGTTTCACTTGGCCGAAAATTGCTTGGATAACGAGACAATTTTAAAAAATTTGGTTGTGGAGTCTTCGGTTATAGGATACACAAGGCACAGATGGACACTTCAATCTTATGTTAATTGCAATAGCATATTGCATTTATTCCTTCACGCTCCCAGTGGAATATATAGCGTACAGCTACAGGCTTGAAGTTTTGGTAGCAGTGGCGTTTATTTTTACGGGATTGGGTTGCTAGTCCCATGTCTAACCTTCGCTATTTACCAGTTTTAAAACTGGTTTAGTGAAGTAAAAGAGGTGGGCCGGGACCGGGGATCTAACCCCGAATCATACGAGGCGTGGTTGGCGAGCATTCTACCGCTGTGCTACCGATGCACTAATCGCATATTTAGTTATTTAATTTCCTTCACTTCAAATTGCCATCTACGACAATGACTACTTCTGCTGATAAATTATTTCTATCCCCATACTTTTCCTTCCCTCATTTTTCAACTGAAGTGAAGAAAGTGAAGTGTGCTACTTGGGGAATTCTTGTTCCCTGGACAATTTGGAAGATCGCTTCTAAAGACAGACTGAATGACTGGCTTCAACAGGGGACTTTGCACAGAGAAGCGCATCAGTTCGAGTTATCACACACAAACACACTCCACTAACTACAGCAAGGAAGAGATTTGAAAGGGCAATGATAAGCGGAAATGCGAGGGAGAAAGGACAGTAACATGCAAAAGCCTTAGAGTTTTAATGGATTATAAAAAGGTGAATGCATCTGTGCCAGCGAAAACGATTTTGAGCTATATCACCGATTGTCTCTAGCCATTGGTTTTCACCATCACGAGGACCCCGACCAGGAATTCTACATCTCCCTACGTGGCTTAAATTAACTGTTGTGGATTTCACTGACATGTCATTTTTTCATTTGACCATCACAAGCTTTTTTTCAAACCTGATCCTGTATCAGATAACATTATTCTTCGAGAAAAGCGATTACTAGGCACACGTAACACATGTCCTAGTTATCTGAATCGATGTAGTTTCGCAGCCTCGTAGGTTGATTTTCCATTCTTACCTAACACTCGACGCCTAACCCCAGTATTACTCACCCTATCATACTACGTAATATGGGAGATACAAAGCAGACACCTATGTTAGCTGACATAGGATCAAGTTGGAGAAAAGCTAGTGATGGTCAAACCATAACAAGGCTTTATCAGTTATTGAAGTCTACAATAGTTATTTCAAGCCAGCAGCTAGCCAGCTACGTAGAGACGTGCAGACTTCATATTTGGTTGGGATCCTCAAGGTGATATGGCTCAAATCGTTGTCGATGGCTGACGCAGATGCATCCACTCTTTGTGACTTGTCATATCCAATAAAATTCTATTGTTCTTCTATATTACTGTTCTTTTTACCTCATATTTCTGTTTATCATCTCTCTTTATTCTCTTCTTTTGCTTTGTGTGCTTTGTTCTACGTTAAAACCAGTTAGTCATGATCAAAGGCAGCTAGCCTTTTCATATCTCTCATTTACAATGGGCATGTCTCACTCACAGCCATAAAGGAGGACTGAGAGAACTGCTGAATAGCAGCATACGTCCTTTTGTCGATAACCAGCCGGATATCACGTCTAAGTCAGAGATGATGCTGGTTGGCAAATGTCACATGAGTCGTTTGTATCCGTGTTGAACTTTTGAAGATAAGTGTTCTACTCAAAACATCACCATTTTAAAAAATGTTTTATTTGAAATGCTTAGTGTAAAACAAATTCAGTGTTATTTTTGTTCTGGAAACGACAAAAAGTGAAGACAGATGACTGCAAACTGTAAGGCAGTTTATAAATACTACTTAGGCGAGCTTATGGGCGATTTTGTTACTTTTTTAACTTTCACTTTGCTCAGTGAAGTTACATCAACTCATTCATTTAAAAGGCGAAATTGGTGGTGCAGTATAAGTATTAAATTATACGCCAAACAATGCAGTCTGATCTGAAAATGAACACAGACGACAAATGATGATCTAACTATAACTCCTTATGAGCTCAGTGCACTGCCTTCGTATCAGAGGAGAAAATTGGTATAAGAATAGAGAAGGGAGTTTAAATAATGATGCAGGGAGACGTAAAGCCGTCAAAACAACAAGGGGGTGGTAAAGGGAATATAAATACTGTAGAAAATATTTAACACTTGGACGAAAAGGATGCATCGATGTAACTATGTCTCATCATCTAAAGTTCCCAACCATCATCTGTTTTCTAACGTATCAAAATTCTATACAAAACATACCAACAATGGTACCTGCTTTACCATGCTTCGATGTCCTACCCTAGTTCTATTCCAACAGACATCTTAAATGTGATCATTTATAAACTTGAGAGGGGCGATAAAACACATCAATACCTAACGCTTGCTTAAAATGCAATGCATACAAATACGCCTAAACTAAAAGTTACTTCCATAAAGATGTGTGAACAAACACCTGTAGTGCCATCTTGTAGTTTATATTGCAAAGCAGTAAACTAACAACAAGGGATTGACCAGGTTAGTTTTTGTTGCTGCATTCCCACTAAAAATTATGCGACTTCTTATATATCTAAAGAGCGGTTCTTATTTTTCAGTGGAAAGTTATCCACTGACGATGACATTAAATGAAAAATGTATTCTACTGACACCACTTTTCATTCAGTATATCATCAATGTATACACTCAGCATCCAGGACCAAGACTTCATATATCAAGTAATGAAGCACACATATTTGTGTGAGGGGCTGATGGTACAAGGCAGTCACCCATGCTAATGTAAATGGGAAATAATACAAAGCGGTGACATAGATGCAAAATGAATTCTTAAGTTAAGTGACATCAACGTAGAACTTTGTACATAAAGCGCATCAATTTAAGTTTTCATACTTCTGAAGAACACGAAAGAGTAGTGCGGATAAACGTAATCAAACCACGGTGAATTATACAAGACACAGATTTATAAGAAAACACGAAGATATTTAGACTGAAGTGGCCCCTGAGCTGGTCTATGACAAACTGGCAAACGAAATTAAACCTGAATAATAACCGACCTGATACAATGAACGCATTAGGATAGTCAAGAGAAAACCGTATTTTCTAACATACTTAAAATCGCAGACAGCAATGACTAACATGTCACTACTTGTCTTGAGAAATGCCAGTCTGAAGAGTGCTTAGACCGAAGAATACTAAGGCAGGACAACAACAATAGATACAAGGCTTTAGGAAAACTGGAAACAAATAGTATGACCCAGTTACATAAAACACATAATTAAGCCTTAGAGAAGCCATATATAAAAACCGCATGAATGACACAAAAGTCAACAAATCATCATTAAAAACTAAATGAGAAGTAATATATCGATCGTTAAGGCCTTAGGATAAAACATCCATTAGTTGTCCACCAGGTTACGAGCTGTAAATTATCATGGCTGTCCGGTCGCTCACGAAGTAAGTGGGCTAGGATTGGACCCTTGTACTACCGGTTAGAGTTTCAAGATATCTTTCTACACTGAAATAAGGAGAGTTGAAAAGCTGTCTGATCTTATTTTTGGATAGCAGGCACAACCTGGCTAGTATTCCAAGAGAAAACTGAAGTTTCCTAGCCACGAAATTTCGAAACTAAGCTGAGCTTCTCTATACCACATCATCTGATAATCCACACCAGCATCACAGATTTCGAAGTTTGAGCTCATGTGCACACTAGCTAGTGCTGAAACATTTATTTCTTACCATAGACATGAAAGTCCTAGTGATTGCATTTTTAAACAAAAGTACATAGAGAAAACTTAGTATGAAACTTGTCACTTACTGAAAGAAAACTGTCATTTCCTCCCTAATAGTCACTCAATCTTACATGCAAAAGCTAAACTCTATCATGGATAATCTAAATGACATGCATGAAAGTAAATCACTGAGACGGGTGACCCACATACTCATTCTGAGTAACACAAAATATTCAAGCTTCACTCAAACAGGTTTCCTTCACAATTTATACAAGAATAGAACTCTTACCAGTTTAGCGTCTAATATACTTCCCAACCTGTTGAGTGACGTGACTCAGCTAAGTAAACTCGCTTTACGGAATACAAGGCAAACATTTCTGGGGATTTTAGCAACACAATCCACAATTAGCAGTGCTTAAGCCGTCAAACCTGCTCGATATCACTAGGAAAGTATGTATACTACACGGAGAAAAGTCATATAGACAGCAGGACTAGGAAATGTCATCGAGGAATATCAACATATATACCACCAATCTCCAAGGTTCTTAATTGCTAATTCACACCATGGATAAAATGATTCCGATAAACATGCTAAAACCGGTAGCTGAATATCGCATGCCGATAAAAGAAGCTGTGGAAAAACCTTCATGCAATTATTTTACCTTTCTACTACGAGTTTATTTCACTACGATTCACTTCGTTCTCTTAATGTTGCGAAAATATGGTAGTTTTAACCGATCCAGCTAAATACAAGCCCGGAAATTGACGTCTTCCGAAGTCAACACCCAAATAACTTGCCCTTGTATAGTTATCGCATAATTGCTCTTCTACTCAACTTCCAGCCAATGGGCCTCGTTCAAAACTCGTTAGACCTAATTCAGCATAGTTAGTAATGTCAAGAGTTATAAGAATGCTACTCGTGACACAGCTAATATAAGAAGAATGTGCAACAGTTTAACTAAATCTATGCTTAAATTCGCAAGACAAGCTTTCACTACTCTCAAGTATGTGTGGAGGTCAACAGCACTCAGCATCAAAAATAAGATCCAGATTTTCAACTCCAATGTGAAGTCAGTGCTACTCGCTATACGGACCAGAGACTTGGCGCGTCATAAAGAGCATCTCAAACAAACTACAGACCTTCATTAACAGTTGTCTTCCCTCAATACGCAAGATCAGATGGCCAGCCAGAAAAGATCAGCAACAGAGATCTCTGGGAGCGAACCAACCAGGAACCGATCGAGAAACAAATAGGCAGGAAGAAATGAAGATGGATTGGCCATACTCTTAGGAAACCATCAAGTGACATCACTAGACAAGCCATTGCTCGAGTGGAACTCGAAAGGGAAGCGGCGAGTTGGTCGTCAGTGCAAGGGTGACTTGGGGGAGGTCATGTGAAGAGGAGATGAAGGCGTGTGGGCAGACTTGGAGCCAGGTGAAGACTCTAGCAGAGGACCGAACGCAATGGAGACGCACGGCTGAAGCCCTATGTTCCTCTATGAATTAAAGGAAACAATAATAATAATAATAATATATGCCTAAATTCGCGAGCATATCGAAGGACAGGAACATAAATTCAAGTTACCCCACAAAGTTTGTTCACAATCGGGAAGAAAACTAAAGTCATCCAATAGCTTCAGCTAACAACTACCTTCCAATCAATATCTCCTAGAGCACAGTAAAAAAATAAAACTGTGCAGCAGACACATAATCACGAACGAGCAAACATGCTTGATTCGCCTAACTAAATGAGGTGTTTAGCAAACCCAATAGACTTCACGGTAAACAGTCTACATGGATACGTATTAAACGGAGAATCTGCACTTTGCGGGAAGGAACAAATTCATAGCCATTAGTTTTTGTGGCTAACTTCACCAGTTCTCATTCATGATAGTACCTACTTCAACTACACACCATAGCTAGTGCAAGGTTATAATCCTGCACGGACTCTACATACTTATTGGTCCGAAGAAACACACACGAAAGAACAAAATCTCGGATAAGACCCTATCAACCCAGACAATCTTCGGCTATATGACTAGGGAAATGCTACTGAGATGTAAAACAGGCTTTTGAGACATTGGCAAGCATTGATGCAGTATTTTTGAATTGATTTTTCATGAAGCTTGCTGTAATTGCCCCAGTATAAGGAGTTGGCCCCCAAGAACTCCAAATATAGCCAACAAAAAGTACAAACTTAAGGGTCCGAATACATTGTTAAATTCCACATCACACATGAGAAGACTAGTAAGCAGTGTTGCAATATGTTTTTAAGAATTTGCTTACGTTTTCAGATAAATCACGACAGCTATCACAACCCCGATCCGCACAAATATCTCTATGCTGACCAGAGAACATAATCCTAATTAAAGCGCAACTTTTTAGTTGTGCAACTAAACAATGCTCAATATGTGTATGTACATTTTCTTGGCACTACCATTCATATAGGCACAGCTATGCACTTAAAATCTTAGCCTCCCTTAAATTATTGTAAGCCACCTTAATGAATGGTTTTCAGGCTATTTCCACCTCGCCCAGTTTGCTAATAAGGCCTGAGCCTATGATCCAGTGCAGGGTCGGCAACCTCACCTCGCAGAACACAACTCCTTCACAGAAATTTGAGATGTTGGATGAAGTTGGCTGGTGAAAGCCCTCAAGCAGTCATTCGACCAATGTGTCTTTCTTCAATGAAGGTAAAAGCAAACATTGTAATGTGGAATGTCCACATCACGTTTGAAGCTAACAAAAACTGCTCATATTGCAAAATAAGTGGGAGGCGTGTCATAGAAGTGCAAAGAATTTGTGAAAGAAGATGGAATGGATATTAGATGGTTGTAGGCAATCGGCAGGAAGCCTTGGAATTGAGTTTCGTGCTAGTTGGCACTCGTCAGTAAGAAGTATCTTCAACTTTGAAGGAACTCATGTCCCTTCTGAGACTCAAACCCACGTCAGCGACGTCATCACTGAGCTACTCGCGTTCACGATTGACCTCCTGTAGAACTGAACACTAGTAACTGACTAGTTTCCAGTCAAAGGTTAAGTGGAGTGTCAATAATTCACTCTGATCACCCAGACGACAACTACAAGAAAGCCGAAAGTATGTCTACCATGATGTTACTAACAGCATCTAAGGCTCTCAATCAGTGAGAAATAATCTCCTCCGGAGTCATGACTGTAAGATTCAACTGGAAAGAGAGGGAAATTACAATTAGCCCACTATATGCACCTTCAGTGAGATGCAGTGCTCTGTTCTTTGCCTGAAATTTTAATCTATCCTCAACAAACCCATGGTTTTTGCCAACGCAAAGTCAATACTTCCATATTTCCTAATGGATTACTTTGACTAATCACTTGCCAGATTGTAATGTCAAAAATACTAGTTTATGTAATGTTAATAGTAACCTGTCGATGCCTGCATGGATGGTATTTGTCTGTGTGGACTGGAATAAGCATTTTATTTTTACTAAGAATGAACCAGAAGACCTCGGTGGACATGTTCACACTACCACTACCGAGGATGTAGAAGGAAAGAAAGGTATCCTAGTCAGACGGCCCAAAACTATGCGGGAATTGGGGGAGTGTGTTATGGTCTTGTTGATTCCTAGCAAATTGTTAATCTGCAAAATCCTAGAGCAGCTATGTGATGCCATGTAAAACAAGTCATGTGTGGACCATATTTCAACACAGTGCACAATCACTAAACGAAATATAATATGGTAGCCAGCCTTCCACCTTAACTCCACGAATGATAAAATTATTTGGAAACTACTGTAGCACCACAGAATATAACAATGCAGAAAACAGCAAACCTTTTTCAGCAGTTCTAAATGAGATGCCCAGTATGCTTGAATTTAATTTTAAACAACTCCATTCTAATGATGTCTTATGGGCTCGGAAAACTCTAATGTCTCACTTGCCGACGTCTCTCAGGAAAGATTATCAAACCCTTGGGTTGGCTGAACATATAGAAGGCCAGTTAGAAACGGAACTGTAACAAAGTCGAGCTTGGTTTTCCGTCAGCTTCAACCAGAAATGACGCCAATGTTCGTTGCGTGGCCGTCTGTCCTGCTAGACTTTCGCTTTGGCCACACTATCTGCTGACGCACCTAACTCGGTGGCCAGGCTGCTCTTAATACCACCCCAAGCATTGAAGGGGGCATACAATACTTACAGCTGTTCACGGATGTACTAATGAACGATGGTGCAAGAAGAATATAAATACATGGAATCACACCACAACTCAGTAACCACGTTCTTGTCCCGTAAAACTTCAGGATACCTGCACTGCGTGTCAGCATTCACAGAAAAACAAACGGATAGTCGAATTCAGAAAAACTGAGGTTCAGTGGAGTCGAAACATTTAATTGATCACCTACAGGCAGCCTACTACGACCAGAGTTTGTCTTTCCGCGTGAGTGTACGTAGAAGGTCCGTGAGCCAGTCTATACCCGTTATGCCGATGAGGCTCTACATAACTACTAAAAGGGTCGGGAATACATTTCCGTTCCTGTGGTACCTAGTGCTGTCCCGTCTAGTCACCCATGTGTTCTTGTTATTCATTATGGGTCCCGTGCTCTGTTTATATGTGCCTATACGCATATTACAACCTCAGCTATTACGGGAATTGTGGGTCTCATCCTGGTGTTTAATCAGCTCGGTGCCCCTTGCGTGTCTGCAAGCGTGTGACTTGGGGTGGATAAAGCTATTTTTGCTGTTAGTTCTCAGTTCATGTAGTCTGTCGCCCACAGTTTGTCTATTACACTTAGTTCAAAGAAGAGCACTTACACTTCTCCTGCCGCAATGCGTGCCTAGTTCTTTTTTAGGTTTACATGCTGCTTGTTGGGCTTGTCACAAGGGAGGCATATGGACGCCTGTGGAGGGACTCTGGCTTTAAGGGACTTCTTTTCAGGTTTTACAGTGAGATTATCTTGCTTGGCCCTGGGTGCAGTGTGATCTGCCGATATTTGCAGGTTATCGTAGTTCGGGCATCTACGTCTACTTCATGTGTGGGGTCGGTAGATTTCCTAGGAGTGTTCTCATGAACTTCAAGACCCATTCTAGTGTTACTGCTCCTTTTGGGTTTCCCTTCACCTTCACGTGTCGTCTGTTCACCTAGTACAACTCGAGTGTCTAAGTATGCGTATCCAAATTCGAGACCACGAAATACTCCGTCAATGAAACGTTGGAATGTTTGTGCTACATTCCGAATGGCGTACGTAGAAACTCAAAAAGTCTGAAAGGCCTAAGGATGGCTGTAAAGGAATGTGAACATTGAACGTTGGTTCATTGATCTTGGTAGCCATTGCCGGGCAACTCAAAGGCGCAAATTGTAAGGCCTGGTAAGTAAGCGGTTTTCTAGTGTTTAAACTGTATGTTTATCTAATTTCAGGTTGGCCACGTAGCGTACAGGGATTGGTCGCCCAAGACGACGCAACGGATGACCAATAGGAGGACTCTTCCCCTCTCCCCTAATTGTATTATGATTGGTTGTAAATAAACTCCTTGACCTTGAGTCTTCGTTCTTACTAGCACGCGGCACTTGTGTGATCACCCTGCTAACGTGCGCTTTGCTCTCTGTTTCAGATCATTGCTTGACGATTGGCCCTACATAAATGGCGAGCCTGCCAACGAAAAACTCTCTTCTTCTAAGTCTCGACTCACTGAGGCTTCCAAGACCACTTCTCCTGTCCAGGAGACAGCATCTAACGAGCTTGTTGATCAACTAGCTGTGGCCATGGCCAGAGCATTCCAATCAAATCAGTCTGGATCGCGCTATGTCCATCCCATGCCACATAAATTAGAAGTTGGTGATGACTTCGATCTATGGTCGGACAAGGTTCACCGATATGTCGATCTGATGAACGTCCCTCACCCAAACGCGTTTGTCCTCGATTGTGTCGGACGTTCTTTGGAAATGCACGTGATAGGTTTGGACCATGTGCATCTGACAATGGGCACCCTTTTGAGTACTCTACGAGCACGCATAGTACCACCAGTGCCTCAAATAGAAGCATTGAAACGCCTTAATGAGTGCAGGCAAGGTCAAGGGGAAGCGGTCAACCAATTTTCACTACGGCTACGCAAGCTTGCTCGTCAAGCTATGCAAAACAGCCCTTTTACAGAGGTCGAAGAAGTTGTTTTCAGCAAGTTCCTGCAAGGTGTCGACTTCCGTTACAGGAAAGACTTCATCTTGCATACTCCGGCATCCATGGAAGAAGCGGAAAACAGGGCACGTTTACTGGAAAGCCTGGAAGAGCCAGGAACCACATCACAACCAGTTAATGCAGTGGACTACCGTCACAAGACACCACAATACACTCAACAGCCCAGACAACAGTATAAAGGACGTCCACAGTCACAAATGGCTTCAAGAAACAATTGCTACTACTGCAGGCAGTTTGGTAAGCATGCTCGAACTTGTGGGCACAATTCAGGTAAGTCACATGTCGATGTGAATTGTTTACCGACTATTAACCTAATCGGCGCCACCTCCTCCCCGAAAGTTTCAGGGTATATAGGTAACAGATTATGTGTAATGCTAGTTGATTCAGGAGCAAATTGCTCCGTTATACATTCCTCATGTGTCCCAGAAAATTTCAGGCCCAAAATAGACAATCACAAGTTGCGGCTTACGACAGCCAGCGGAGATTGCATGCAATCCCAGGGAGTAGTCCTACTACCTCTAAAGTTAGGGACACTGTCACTTCAGCACGCTTTCGTTGTGTCAACTCAGGTGCCGTGGCAAGTAATCCTAGGAGTTGACCTCTTAGAAAAGCTGTCCGGGATAATAGACTGTGGCCAGAAGACTCTTATATTGAATGACAGCTTCATTCCGTTCATTCCAGGAAACGACTTAGAGCACGGCACGTTTGGCGTACAGGGCCATGTTATGAAAGAGAAACTTAGAATGTTAACTACGGTGGAAACCTTACCCTTGGAGACAACAGCCAGTTTTAATAAGATGCTCGACAATTACATAGACTGTTTTGACTGGGATGGAAAAAACCCAGGGAGAACAAAACTGATCCAACACCACATAGATACAGGTAACGCCCCACCTTGTAGACAACCTGCACGGCGAGTACCTGCACATTATCAGAAAGAGCTGAATAAGTTAGTGGATGAACTGTTAGAGAAGAATGTCATCAAACCATCTGTATCCCCATGGGCTTCCCCAGTAGTGTTAGTTAAGAAATCGAATGGAACACTTCGGTTGTGTGTGGATTATCGTAAGTTGAATCAAGTAACTAGGCGAGACTGTTTCCCCTTACCACGTATAGACGACACATTTGATGCCCTAGGGGGATCGAATTGGTTTACTACCTTAGATCTAGCTTCTGGATATTGGCAAGTAGAAGTACACCCAGAAGATAGACAAAAAACAGCAT